TACGAGTCGCCCCTCTCAGCAAGCCACATCTTCCCGGGGCCCCCGACCCACTCGTCTACTGAAGCCCCCACCACCGAGGCGAGCCACTCCCTCCGGTCTTCGGCCTTCCACCCTTCGACCATGAAGCTGGCCACCGCATCCTCTCGGGCCTTGGATACGGCCTCTTCTTGAGCCGCGCGGGCTTCATCGGCAGCAATACGGGCGGCCTCGGCGGCGGCCTCCCCGGCCCTGGCTAGCCCCTCATTGACACCTTCGCCCCTTGCATCCTGCACCCTTGCTCCATGCCTTCGGTGGCCAGCCGTAGAGAGTCCTCGGCTTTAGCAAGTTTCTTCCTGAGAAGGGCAGCCTCCCCCTCGGCGGCACCCTTGGCCTCCCTCATTTGATCCACCCTTCGGAGGTGCTCGCAGAGGCCCATAAAAGCCCGCAATTCACGAAGGCAAAAATAAGGCATAAGGAACATAGTATAGAAGAAAAACATAACAATGAGCAGAGAAGGGAGGGGGACTTACGGAGGCGGCATTCAGGAGGACCTTCGCCTCGAGGGGTCCCTCGTCCAGCCGGGCAAGGGCCAGTCGGTCGGCCGACGGCAGCATCTGGCTCATCAGAGCCGAAGGGTTCAAACTGCCCTCCAACACGGAGGCCCCCTTCGGCACTATCGCCTCCAACCTCTCCCGCCCAAAGAACTCCTGATTAATTTGTTCCTGGGGGCGGAGGCAGAAGCGTGCCCTTCGTCCACAATCACCACCACATCGGTGATCGGTTGTTTGGTAGGGGCGGTGGTCTTCGGCTTCTTGGCCGGGGGCTCGGTCCCCTTTCCAGCAGCCTTCTTTTTGCTGGGCCCAGCACCCTTGGACCCTCCGGGGCCAGCAGCAGCGCCAGCAGTTTGAGAGGGCCCCTCCCTGGCAGAAGCGCCCGCCGGGGCCTTCTTCTTTCCTTTCGCGTTTTTCAAAGCGAAGAGGGAACCAACATCCATATTGTTACCTACAAGCAACAAAAAAAACAGAAGGGTTAGATCGAGGGCTACCAGTTACTACGTCATAAAAAAAAGGGGGCATGATAAGAGAGAACTATAGCCGCATCAGTGAACAATTCGGTGATCACCTCCAGCGCTTTCGAAGACCCTATCGAGGGGAGGGTATCTCCCATCCGAAGAGCCCCTCGGCCTGAACTGCCGGAAGCCCAGGCTAAGCAAATCCTCCGGAAGGGTGACTTCTCTGATCTTGACATGCTTGTCAGACCCCTCCGGCTTCTTGGCAAGCACTTTGCCGTTCTTCTCCAAAGTTGCGCTCCCCACCTTCGGGTGGCGCCGGAAGCTATTACGAAGCTGGGCCGGGAAGGGATTCTCCTCGAGGCGGATATAGCAAAATCTCTCTTTCCACCCCTTGTGAGACGAGGGCACATCATCAAAAAGCCGGAACTTCGGTACCTGCTGAAGGTTGGCAAAGCCCTCAGCATTTGAATGTCCCCCCCCCCCCGGCAAAGGTTGAAGGACATGAAGAATTGATCGAGTGTGGGCTCGACCCCCCGGCTCTGACACAAGGAGAGGAAGCCGGCCACATAGGAGTGGCTGTTGGGCGTTAGCTGGCAAGGGGCCAACCCCACAAATCTCAGATACTCCAAGAGAAAAGGATGGAGCGGGAACCGGAGCCCCATCTCCACCGAGAGGGTGTGAGCAGCAAAGCACCCCTCGGTCGCGTATCGCAGCAAATCTTCCGCCCTGGGCTCCACCACGCGCGCTGAAGGTCCAACCAGCATCTGGGTGGACTGGTATTCTGCCGGGGATGCCTTCGTCTTCAGCTCTAGGGCGGCAGTATTCAAGAACGAATGGCCCTCGGGTATGCCCATCGGCCGCCCGGCATCCACTGCCGCTTGCTTCTTCCTCGGGGCCGCCTTCGTCTTGTGTTTCTTCCCGGGAGCCACACTTATGGGCGTCGGGTCCAATGGCCGGGAGGAGCTGGCTTCCCTGGCACCCCGTTGGGGGGGAATGGCAACAGTCACCTTCAGCCTCTCCCTCTCCTCTTCCTGCTCGGCGGTTTGCACGGCGAGGGCAAGCTCTTCATCCTCGTTTTCTTGCTCGAAGCCCTCGGCTTCGACTTCGGCCTGGAGGTCCTTCTCCACTTCCATGGCCACTGCAGCATCACCACCTGCCGAGGACTCCACGCTCGAAGACTCCACATCTGAGCATGTCTCCATCTCTACCGAAGGCTCCCCCGAGATATCCTGGGAGTCGCTTTGTGATGACATCTGCTCACTAATTCGAAGGCTCGGGAAAACTAAGGTTTCCTAGGAAATTCTATCTCCTAAACTAGGGGCACAAGGCACAGCTAGACTAGAAGGAGAAAGGCGGGGGGGAACTGACCTTGAAGGCTGAGTTGTTACCGAAGGCTGGAGTTTCTCTCTCTAGAATTTTTGCCAGAGCTTCGCTACACTGAGTTCACACAGCGGGGAATGGCCCTGGCCTTGGGGTATTTATAGGCGACGGAATCCGGGCTTGGGCCTGGATTCCGGGCCTCCGGATGGACCGCCATCATTACACACCGCGTCCTCACCCGACCAGTGATGCCGCCCACGGACAGCCAGCCATCACGCGCCACGTGCCCCCCCCCTCAACGGCTATATCCTGACGTTACGTATTCCAACGGCTATATTTCCAACGGCTATATTCTGGAAGCCCCCGGGTTTTCTACTGCACTCCGCTACATCAAGGAGAGCCTCCGAATACCCTTACCCAGAGACGCCCCCGGGATGTGCCCCACACAGCCCATAGCAGATGCCTTCGGGATCACTCCTTCAGAAACCCAAGGCTCCATATCAGAGCACCCCTCGGGAATTCCCCTCCAGCACTGCAAAACCGGGTAGCCCCCGGGGAGTGACTCATTGACGGATGGCCCCTGGCACAAAAGTAATGGGAGCCCTCGGGTATCTTCATCACCAACTAATCAGCAAACAGTGGACCCCCCCGGTAACAACTTCACTGCTGCCCTCATCTGGCAGGCCCTCGATCCCTGGATTGAGGGACTCCCCTTCGGCGCCACCAGGACATCAACAACAAGCCTTCGGCTAATCAACACAGGAGCCCTCAGAAGAGAGCCTTCGGCATTCCCGTCATTCTCCATTTTTTACCAAGGTTTGACATTTTCGATTCATCATTGGGGGAATTCGGTGCACTCTTTTTCCCTCATTAGGATTTTTTCCCAAAGGGTTTTGCCTAATGAGGTTTTTAACGAGGCATCCCCCCAAAATGAAACGAAAAGCGTCAGCCTTCGGCCCACAACAGCATCGTAACTACTTTACTCCTTTTCACCACTTTACAAGTGCCTCAAGGAGTGGGGGACTGGAGGACCCCCTCGGGAAAATCATTAAATTACAAAATCTGTGAAATTCCAACAAACAACAAAGCAAGCCCTCAAGTCCCGACATGTGGGTAACTGAGGGACTGCCTTCGGCAGGGACATAAAAACAACAACTCCTCACCAACTTCAGAGATCACGACGGGACAACATCAAAGGGCAAACACAAATTACTCCTTTTCCCTCAAGTACCTTTCGGCAAAAGGAGTGAGGGACTCCTGATGGAGTACATGGCCCGGGAACCCCCGGCCCACAGACTCCTACTACTCCAGCGAAGGCCCAAAAGGCCCAACAGGCCCAAATCACAGCGCCCAGAGTACCAGGCAGTCCGCACTACGCGCCAGGGGTGCCTTCGGCCCCCTGGCCGAAGGCTCCAAATTCTCACAGGACGGGTTTCTCAAGCAAATTAAGAGACTGGGAGAAAACGGCGAAAACAGTAGCCCTCGGCACTGTGAGCCCTCGGCACCAGGGTGCCATCGGGTGGAAGAGCCCTCGGCTACTGCTCTATAGCCGAAGGCATCTCACTCGACAAGATATCCGCCTCACATGCGTACAGATCACCGTACCTCGCACAGACGTCCCGTCCAACAGCCGCATTAAATGCGGCCACATGCGGCTGCCAGCGCCAACCAGTTGAGGTGACCCCTCGGCCAATGAGCGCTTGACACGTGTCCCTGCCCGGCATTTATTGCTACTATAAATAGCACCCCATTTCCCCATTTGTAACCACGCTGAAAACGGCATTCATACTGAATACACTCTCTCTCTACTTTTACTTACTTGCTCTGACTTCTCTCTAAGTTATTCCCCGTAATAACCCTTCGGATATATACCCCCGGGTAGACTATCCATCAGGTAGGGTTTCAGTGCCGGTCGTTTTAGGCCTAAATTTGTCCGTTTTAGGTTTAGCGAGTTGTGTTGCTTTGTATGAGGTGACTGACTCTAAGTCTACTCCTAGGGTTCACGATTAGATCTGTAAATTTTGTATGAAGGTTATCTTGTATGTGTTCTCGATTTTAATATAACGACCGCTATTTTATGATTAAAAAAATTATAACTCATTTGACAACCATTGTTTTCAATTTATCAGCCTTGTCAGTCAATTTTTTTATGGAGTACTAAACACATAATTTTTTATTTCACGCGCTCGATTTTGTAGTAATCAAAATAAGTAAAGTTGAAGTTATCTTACGATAGAGAATCATTCTACCTATTTTTATATAATTTTTTCTTCATTTTATATTTTAAATATGATATTTTCATAATTTAGTAGATTCAGACGCTTCAGCCAAATTTCATCAATTTCAGCAGATTCAACCGATTTCGGTCCTATCAAACTAACCGTAAAACACACACGATACAATATTTTTACCAAACCAGTTAAAATCATATTAGAGTAGACTAAGTATGTTTTTAATTTGACTTAAATTTTTGCTGGTGTGATTTGGTCTGAACTGATCTAGTATATTCTGGTAAATATTTAGTCTCTATAAGTCTATATGTTCTATTACTGTTCAAGTCTGATCTGGTCTGATCCGATCTTGCTGGTCTGAGACTGAAAAAGTTCCAATTAAAAACATCATAATAGACCAAACTAGATCATTAAAGACGAGATGGGGGTAAATGTTAGGAAGTGGGCGAGAATGTAACCTGCATCATATCTCCAATGATAACAATGAGAGTGTTGGGGATAGGTTTGACTTGGATCCATTGATGGTGGCTGTAAACTTCAAGGCCACCGATAAGGTCTTGATGAATAATGGAGAGGAGAGAGCTATCGGTGTGGGCATCAATTCCCCACGCTTGTCCTTCCTCCTCTCCCTTCTCATATATACAACGAAGATATCGGTATAGGCGCAGAATTCCTGTGTCTTCTGAGAGATAACTTATAACACCCCTTCCTAGTTCTTTGCTGCAATTACTGGTAGTTTTTGCTCCAAAATTTGCCTTCTCTGAAACAAGTGCTTCGTATATTGCTTTACCCACTCTGCTCTGATGCTTCCCATATTCTTGCACCAAGGATCTACGATTCATGCATACAAAAATGTTACTCAAGTTCTTTTGTCACAAGTCACAACTAAATGAAACCAACACTTTTTTAGACTTTTATACCTCAAAAACTTATTCAATTCTTGCAAAAAGAAAAGTTAATTAATCTGAAAAAATGTTCCCTTTGACTAGGCTTTGACGCTTAAAACTCTACCAACTTTACTTATTCAGTTGTGGCTAAAGAAATTCTCAATTCCATTTAGGATCTCGATGGTTAACACTTAACACTAATATATATAGAAATTATTTCAAATAGGACTAAAACAATGCCAAAAACTCAAAACAGGACTTGCTCTAATTTTATTCCAAAATAGGACCATATGAGTCCTATTGGAAACATACCTATTTTTACCTTCCATTCTTACCCTTTCATTAAATATGAGTTAAAAATAGTCAAAAGCCATAATTAAATGTTTAATTCATAATAAATTCTAAAAAAATTCAAAAATTCGTAGAAAAATAATTAAGAATTTTACAAAATATTTATAAATTAAAAATTCGAAAAACAATTTTTTAATAATTTTTTTTAAAAAAATTAATAAAAAATAGTAAAACTCCATAAAAAAATTTAAAAAAATATGGATGCATTTCCCACCGCCTGTACTACCTCCCTGCACCACCACCTCCGGCCAGTGAAAAACTGCCATTTTCCCTAAAAACTGCCATTTTTTTCCGGAAAATGCCAAAAAAGTGGTATATTTCTCTTTGCGAATGCCAACATTTTCATTGTTTTCTGCCATAAATATGACATTCATAATGAACTTGGCATTTTTTTCCCTGGTGACTGGAGGTGGTGGTGCAGAGGCGGCAGAGGTGGCGGTGAATTTTATTTTATTGAGTTTTTTATTATTTTTATTATTTTTTATTTTTTTTGAAAAAAAATAATTAATCATTATTATCGAAATATTTTTATTAGTTTGTTAGCATTTTTTATGATTTTTTATTATTTTTTATTATTTTATTATGAATTAAAATATTTCAATAGCTAGAAGGGTATATTTGTCCAAGACACACATAATTAGTCCTATGAAAACGTAGTTTAGTTTTTTGTCCTATTTGTGAAAAGTGGGTCACTTTTAATCCTATTTTGATAATTAACCCTAATATATATTGGCATAATATGATGAAATTGATAAAATACTCATTGGACTGACTGAATGAGTTGAATCTGTTGAATGAGAAAATTTATATTTGAAATATGTTTTGCTAAGAAAATCTAAACCCTAAACCCTAAATTACGAAATAAATTATATGAAAAATAGCTAATCAGTCCTCTACAATGACATTAGTCACTCTAGTCAGAAAAGTAATTAATGTCGACTTTACTTAATTATTTAGAGTTTTAAATAATTTGACGCGTGAAATCAAAAGTTACGTGTTTGTTAAAATATTGATTGATAAGGCTGATAAGCTAGCTGAAAATAGATGTTACAAAAATGACTCTAAAATAATAAACACATGGTTAAGTTATTTTTCGATCTCTTCTCTGCATAAATCTCAACTATACAAATTTTACTTTATGAATCCATCTACAGTCTACTTTTATACGGAGTACATTTTTATGGGACGTCCTGTAGTATTAATATATACATATAAAAGTTTCTAGTAGATTTATGCAAACGGTTATAACTTTTTTTCCAAATTGAGTTGTTCCGGAGTAGGATTTGAATTAAAAACATAATAGCGTATTTTACATGGATGAAAAAAATATATTTTGCAGGGATCTAAAACAAAATATGTCATATTTACAGGGACTAAAACTACATTTAAGCCTTACCAAACATATAATTTAGTTTTTTCCAAGTCTCTTTAAAAAAAACTTTTCCAAATGGGATTAAAGTACACACACGAGTATTTATTCCTATTTATAAAATACGAGTAGTACGTACTCCCTCCGTCCCCTTTTAAATGTCCCGGAAGAGGGTGACACGAGTTTTAAGAAAAGTAGGTTTGTGTGGTTGATATTAATAGATAAAGTAAGAATACAGTAAGAATGATTTTGAGCCACACAAACTTTACCAAATAAGGTATGGGACAATTAAATAGGGACATCCCAATATTGTAAAATGGGACATTTAAAAGGGGACGGAGGGAGTAGTACTTATCAGGTTATATGAAAAACAGAAAACTTTCTTAATTTGGAGTGAATGAGTCGAGTATTAATCCTATTTATGCTTTATCTATACATTATTATTTGAAAATTTCCCTTTTAATTACGTAGTACTCCTTCCGTCCCTGAATTATATTCAAACTTTCCTGTTTCGTCCGTCCCAAAATTATCTCCTCCTTCTCTTTTTGGCAAAGAATTTGTGGTTCACAATCATTCTTACACATTCTTACATATTTCTCTCTCCTCTTCACAACTCTCCACCACACAAAACTCATTATCTTAATAAGTGTGCCCAGCCAAAATGGGAGATAAAACAGGGACGAAGAGAGTATAAATGAAGTGACTTGTATTAGGTGGGTGCCAATGTGGGTCCATTACAATTAAATAACGTTTCTGGGCTTAGTCTATTAGGTGGGTGCGATGTGAAGGGGCTGATTTGTCAACCCATAAGGCAGTCGGAGCTTTAGGCAGTTTAAGCCATGCCCGGTGATAAGCAGACCAAGGCGAAGACCCAAAGGTGGGCTACCCGACTGACCGACTCTACTAGTCATATCACTCGTGTACGGCGTCCAGGAATATACTTCGTATATTGGACCCTCTTTTAGTTTTTGTACTAATGAAAAGAGTAGTTAGCATTATTCTTTAGTTGATAATAGAGATTTGAGAAGTTAAATGGTGTTCATTAATTCTTAGATCCATTTATATTGAAGCTTTATTTTGAATTTCCCTTTACAAATAAAATGTAGAGCAAAGGTAAGTACACTTTTAATGTTCTTCTTGTATTTATATTATTACAACATATTTTCTTTTGAAAAAAAAATGACATCTGATCCCGAAAAAAATGACACCCCATCTATGGGAATCCTCAACACCAACTACACAGTTAATTGGTAGAATGTAAAGTGTGCTTTACTCAAAAGGCTACAAATAGCTTGCAAGGGTCTTATACATTTTACATAGTAACATCTAATTGCATTTGTCAAACAAATATTTTATATTCACATTCACACACAAAATATTTACGAGTATATAACTACAACACTTTTTTTAATAAGTTTTGTAGCTAAAATACATAGAGCCCGTTTGGTAACACTAAAATTGGCTGAATTGGCTGATTCTGCTGAAATTTATGAAGTTCTGGCTGAAGTGGCTGTATTGGTTGATTCTGCTGATTCATGAAAAAATTATATTTAAAATATTTGTTATTAATAAATTAAATAAAAAATTATATGAAAAAATAGCCAAAATGATTCTCTACAGTAACTTCAGCCAATACAGCCAGAAAAGTAACTCCAACCTTACTTTTTCTGCTTATTACAAACTTCAGCGCACGAAATCAAAAGTTACGTGTTTGGTGAAAAAGCTGGCTGATAAGCTTGATAAGCCGAAAAAAGGGTTACCAAACGGGCTCATAAATAGACTTACTTTTTCAGTTACATTTTCATGTTCTCTTTCATTTTTTATTAATCGCGCATATGCTTTATGCTCTTTCTATATATTCACTATCTTATCATTCGACCCCGAAAGGCCTAATGGAGCAACAATAGATTCCTCCATATAATTTGTTTATTATGTTACATTTTTCACAATGCTTAAAGATACAATAGAAATAGTGAATACCGGTGGGCGTAGCTCAACTGTTAGCAATGGAGTGTCACAAAGGTTAGGTCTCGGGTTCGAATCCCGGTAACTGCGATGAGGGGTTATTATGCTAAAAATGCATAGGGCCCCTGCAAATACCGGGGACATAGTCCCACTCTCTATCTGTCAGATTGAGATTATAGTCTAATTTACATCCTCCCAACGTACCATCCGGTCGAGATTGAGGGGCCTTCAGGGATGAGGTGTCATCCTTTTTTTGTAGAAATAGTGAATAGTGTAGAATAAACTAGTTTGAGAGATGATGTAAATTAAATGTACGCGAAAGATAAGATGAATTGATGAAAATGAGAGAGTAAGAGTGATTGATCATTTTTAAAAGAGAGAGTTACAAAAAAGGAAAAACTCCTCAAGAAAGTGTAGCAGGTAAAAATTATGCAGGGAGTGAATCTCAAGAAAAAAATCTTTATTAGAAATTGAGTTTTATTTTTCAGCATCGAAATAAAGAATATGGAAACATATTTTTAAAACATCATTTTCTCCTACACTTGTACATATTACGGAGTATAATTAAAACAGGCTATATGTTAAAAGGATTCACTTGAGTAAATTATTACTTATTTAAGAGCAACAATCATCCATAATCCAATTCTATATGGAATATATATTTCTTAAAATTAAGTTTTTATAGAAATATTTAAAAAAACACTCCCTCCGTCCCAAAATTATTGTCCCGTTTGGTTTTTCACACAGATTAAGAAAAGGACACTGTAGCGACACTGTTTGGCACTGTAGCGACACTGTTTGACACTGTAGCGACACTGTTTTGCACTGTTTTGTACTGTTTGACACTGTTTGTTATAGATTTGTTTACAAAATAAGGAAGTTTTAGAAACGGAATAATTATTTTGGGACAGACCGAAAAGGAAAACGGGACAATAATTTTGGGACGGAGAAAGAAGTTTAAAAGTGATACTCCCTCCGCCCCTTAAAACTTTGCCAAGTTTGACCGACACGGAAATTAATAAAGTAAAAACTGTGTGATTGAGGTTTGTGCAGAGGAAAGAGAATTAAGTGGAACCACAAATTCTTTACTTAAAAAGAAAAGTGACAAAGTTAGTGGGACATCCAAAAAAGGAAAGTTGGTAAAGTTATAAGGGACGGAGGGAGTATGTGATATGTCGGATATTTAACTATTCTACAATCACATAATGTAAGATGCACGTGAATTTGACGTGAGCTTTAACAAAATAAAGGGAAAAGTA